AGAGATGGGTCCTCTATGATTTCAACCCACACAGTATCCGTGTGTCTCTCTCAAGGAGAAGACCCATCCTAGCAGTCCAAACCGGGCATGCAGTCCGAGAAGGTTCTCCTGTGCGGCTTCTGGGAGGCGTGGGGAATGCAGCACAATGAGCTGCCCTGTGAGAACATGCGGTTTCCGCTACCATTTGTGCTGCTTAGCTTCAGAAACCCGTGGAAACTGTTGGAGAGAAATGACCGAGACTGGCTTCAAGGACATCTCGTTCCCGAGGACGGAGACCCCTTGCTGGGAGACCTACCAAATAATTGAGGAGCAAGGGTGAAAGACCAGACCTCACTCATCGTATTCTCCTGACATGAACCCCTATGACTGCCACTTCTCAAGGCTCTCCTAGCTAAGAAAACTGTCAGCAAGTTTGATGATATCAATCGAGAGGCCGCCGACTTACTCGACTCGCAGCCTCCCCAGCTCCGAGAGGGCAGTGCCTACCTGCCCATTAGGTGGAGCACCATAGTGACTGGCAATGACGAGTATATTGTTGGTTAATTTCCATTGTATGTTGAGTTAGAAAATAAAAAAGAAAAAGTCACAATAGTGACAAGACTTTCTTTCCAACGTAATAAATTTGAAACGAGAAAATCCAGTGCTTGCGAAGATGATTTTAGACGAAGGATAGGCAGAGACTTACGCATAAAAAAGGGAATGGATGGAATACGCGGCCACGCCTCTTGCAGCCCTCTCATAGTTTGAATTATAAGCTTTGGAAGACAGGCGGGATACAGTATCCAAAACTGCGATGCAATTGAGAAGCGGAAAGCGAGTGCACACAGTATCCCTCAGTTCACGCCTCCGCAGCGCCTTGCTGTGCTTCATCAAATGATTTTTGGGGCCAGCCTGATCTAGAAACCAGTGTTCCCACCCCTAGATGCATCAGGTACCAGAAGGATGGTAGGTCTAGTTGGCTTGGGCAGTCTTGGCGTTTAACACGTCCACGGTAGCGGCACCAATGGTGTCGCCTTAGCCTCTACCCTTGAGCTTAAAATTAAATGGAATATAGACGGGATCAGAAAGATTATGCTTGAGGAAGCATATATCTATTGCAGAAACTTTTAGGGAGGAGCGCGAACTATCTATATGATTACAAAAGCAAACCGGCAAGTTAGAGACAGTTATTGAGTAATAAATATTATCTAAAAAGTGAAAAATTCTGAAACATGCAACCAGATGTCAAATGTGGTGCGTGCAGCTGGTCTGGTAGTTTTCCGAAGGGTGTCGAATCAAGTGGAGTTTCTACTTCTTCAAGCAAGCTATCCTCCGTATCACTGGACCCCACCCAAAGGTGAGTAACGTGCCATTATTTCCACACCGTCTTTGAGGAAACCGTGTTTCACCTTCAGGACATGTGGATCCTGGAGAAGACGAGTGGGTGGCGGCACTTCGCGAAACGAAAGAAGAAGCTGGAATACTTCAAGAACAATTACATATCTATGAAGATTGCCACGAAACCCTTAGATATGAAGTGAGTGGCTTCGCTTCTTCTTCTGCACTACATATATCCGCAGCGAACAAGATTGTGTGATCTTCGAGGTAGGAGTAGTCAAGTAAGAGGACGTCAAGCGATGACCTGGACGACCATCTGCACGATGTTAAGACTTCTTTAAATAGTCGGCTCGGGCGGCTACCGCCCGGCGCGCCTCCCTTCTGATACGGCCCGACTGCGCCGGGCGGGCGCAGCTTCGGCCGCGCGTATTTTCTTTCACATATTTCTAGACTCAACTGATATCCGCCTTTTGTTCTGTACTCCACTTTTTTCCGGTGTCTGAAGTACTCTTGAGCTATTTTACAGATTCTTCGTCTGACTCCGCCCACCTCGGAGCAGCCGTACCGCCCATCTAGGGGCCTACATTCTTCACCGTCGGCGATCCCATCTGCTGGACGCTTAATCGCACGTTTTTTCCGCGTCTTTGAAAGTGCGCTAGGGACATTTTCAGATGAATTTCTCGATCTGGTCTCCCACCTCGGCTGGTCCTGCCCACAATGTGTATACGCAAAATTTCTCAATCCACAGAACCTTGCTGACGCTGAATTCACTTTATTACCGGTTTCGAGGTGCTTTGAAACCGTTTTACAAACCTTTTAGTCTGGTAAATGAATACCCTGCCAATTTAGGGCAAGCTCACCTACGGTGGGCGGGTCTCAACCACACTATTGAGCTGTTACCCTATATTCGCTCAATATTTACACTCTTACACAGAGGTTTTTGCGACTTCCAAAACACTCGCAACGCGGGGCTATAAGTTTTGCGAGAAGCACGCCCCCGTGGTGGCCCCGCCCATTTTCGGGTGGTTGCCATAGTTAGTCTGGCGACTCTACTGAACCTTTATTCCCTTTTTTTCCCAGTCTTTAGCTGGTCACGGAAGCGAATTATGATTAATTTTCTGCGGCGGAACCCCAAACTATTCCGATGCCCCGCCCACTGTGTGGTCGGGCTTACCCATGGGTCAGCGTGTGCTTATTCATTTCATTGATTTCCCTGCCCGACCATTCCCACCTTGACCCCGCCTCTCCAAGATCGCCTCTTCAGAGTCGAACCCGAATTTCCGAGGACAGACCAAACTTACAATACGAGCAAGCAAACAAATTTAAGAAGCAAAACAAACACAAAACAAACAAAACACAGACGACGAATTATATATATGGCGGACTTTATGGGTGATTATGTCTAGCACGAGCGAATAGTCGAGGTTTCGTGTTCCTTGAGCTAGCCTCTCTAGGATTACCCTGGGCTACAAGAGAGACGAGAGGAATGTTTTTGCCGCTGAAACCCAAGGAAGTTTGATGATCAACACGAAGGCAAGTGATGCAGTAGGCAGAACCACGGGTAGAAAAGTATACAGGGGGGGGGGCAAAAAAGTCACTTTTCTCAATTGATTTCGTGCGCTGTATTTGCTTCACTTTACAAATTCTAAATCGCGACATCTGCCAGCATATTAAACGGCATTATTAAATACTAATTTATTTAAACTCCGTCACCAGGACGCCTTCTGAGACGAGCGCGCATCCAGAGATTTCTTCGCGCGCGACCGAGCGATGTGGTGCGCTTAGCGAGATAGTCGATTTCTCCGCCACCCGTAGCCACGCTCACTTGAAACTCGCCGAAACCCGGGTACCTGAGGGAATTCAGCGTCAGTGATTACTTGGATATACCATCTTCTTTAGGTACTCAGCCCCCTTCCATTCCAAGTAGGCGAGAGTTTCTCCAACGCCCTTCGATTCCACGTGGTGGCACCCAATGCTGTAGCAGTACAAAGTTTCCAAGAAGGTAGGGGCGGCGACATGTGGGGAGGAATATCTTCTTACAATTGAGTTGCTCGATGTAACCGCCAGCGCTCACCTTCAGTCCGGGGTCCACGAAGAAAATATTGGTCTTTCCATTCCAGGTACCTCCGGTCCATACCATCAACCCGCTCCTTGACGACTGCGGTGAAGATGATGTCCTAGACGTAACAACGTTGTCGGAAGCTTGCTCAGATGTCGGGCTTCAGATTGAAAGTAGCTAAGTCTGCCAAGTAGCTATCCATTGGGGACTGCAACAAATTGTGCAGAAGTTTCGCAGCTGTTTGGAGGTGACATGAATTCCAAAGGTCTTCTCTAGTCAGGCTGCGACTGGAGAGACTCTCATATTTTGGTGTACATGAAGCTGATGGGCGAGTGTTAGCTCACCTGCTACGAGGAACATCTTGGGTATCTTCCGCCCTGGTACTCGTATCCACATTCTCTCTGGGCTGCAAAAACTTTGCTGATATGTGACTCGGTCGAAGTGACTTTTTTGCCCCCCCCTCCCTGTATATTCGTACTAGTATACGAAACACGCCATAGTGAAGAGAAAATTAAAGCAGCTCAAACGTCGGCCCCCTTTGCTGTCCTATTTTTCAGGTTTGGCTCAATATCGAGTTTAGCCAATTTTAGCTAAAGCTGTCTTTGAAGGGAAATGTCGGCAAAAAAGTGGCTCGATTTGGAAAACCGAGGAAGTACAAGGTGAATGGTGCCAAAATCCCATAAAATACCCCAAAACTGGTGTGTTCTCATTACCGTCGACCTTTCTCAGAAAGCTATATAGAGCCCCTTCCCGCTATTTCGATTACGGCCCCTTCCACAGCGCGCCTTGGTATTATAATGAGCGTGCTGTAAAAGGACGGCTGCATTCTACTCCCAGATTTTTATTTCCAGGTGAAAGGAAAACCAAAGACGGTGAAATACTGGCTAGCTCTGCTAAAGAACCCAGATGATGTCAAACTCTCACACGAACACCAAAAGTGGAAATGGGCAGAACTGGATGAAGCCATTAAAATAGCTGAATATGCTGAAATGGGAGCATTGCTAAGAAAATTCAAAGCATATGTGGATAATTTGAAATCGTAGTCTATCTTTTGCGGTATTCTGATTAGGGTGGTATTGCTAACTTATCTCTGTCATGTGATCTGATGAATTTACCAGTAAATATTAAATAAAGTAGAATAGTAAATAAAAAATATCATTTTTTTTGAACGTCGTTGATTGAGCAACTACAAGTGCTGCTCTTTTCATGGAATTGTAGCCAGCAATTCATCACGATGAGGAATGTTGTTCATATAAACACTCCACGCTTAAAACACTCCACCACTGACCCTAATTCTACCCCTCCTCCCCCCTCCCCCTTCCATCCCTCCGCTCCCTTCCACCACTCCACCCCACCCCGTGAGTATCGTTGTGAGAGTGTGAGAATCCCATGGCATAGTACATGGTCACTGAGCAGGGATCGCACTGACACCGCCATTTCACAACCTCCCCCCCCCTCC